TTTCTTTACACTATTCAATGTTAAATCATTGTTTTGTATTATCTTTTGTTCATGGTTCTTGGAAATTATAAATGGTTATCAAATACCAATAGTTGGAATAAAAAATATTTTCCATGGAAAATAAAGCCTATCAAACAGCTAAAGATGGAAAAACTCATAATTTTCCATGGAAAATAAAGGCAATCAAACAGTAAAAGATGGAAAATATCAACATTTTCTTGGTGGAAAATTATACCAATCAAACGCAACTAATTGACATTTCCCGGGAAAACAAGTTCTAGGCAATTATTTTCCCTAAAATTCATTTTCTCTCCACCCAAATTTTCAAGGTGTTATCAAACGGACCCTAATAGATTTTTTCTTTCCAGGTCAAATTAGAGGAACTGTGGAGGTAAAGTACTTAAAATACATACCTTTTACTGTGGATATTTAGAATAAAAAATTATTGAATATAGTAGATGATAAATGCATTTTAAGCATTATCCGTACTTTTATTCTTAGTTAATTATATGTAAGTTGAGTAGTTATCTACTTAATTTGTTTAAATTGTAGATAAAGTTTCAACTTGGATACAATTGGTTTGAAAAGGGGTTATTAGGATCTTAATTGGAGTTGATTTGGAGCAATTTAAAATTAATTGGATTGCACTTGATCAAATGAAAGTATTAATGGAGCATTTGATAATAATTCATAAGTTTCGAAAGTTAAATTCGATATTTTGAAAGTTTAGGAATAATTGTGAAGTTTCGAAATTTTTATCTGGTCAATTATTAATAAATTTTTGGATGAACAAGATCTAATTATGAAGATTAGAAAATGAAGGACTAATTTGCATAAAAAAGGGACTCCATTAAAAAAAAAATGATATGTAGCATCAATGTTGTTAGAGCATTAGTTTGTGTGGCTACACTTTATAAATTTAATTAAATGACTCATGTGACTTTGCATTTAAATGAATATATCATTTAATATCGTATAATTTCCATATAAACTGATGTTCAGCACCAATAGTGATGAATATCATTACTCATTGAAGCAATGGATTGTTTTCTTCTTCTCAAACTATTTTTAGATGAACAAGGATTTTGATCTAAACCTTATATTTTTAAATATATGCTATACACATATTATACAAGTCATAGGGTCTATTGGAAATTTAGAACATAACAATCATATCAATTATAAGAAACGAGAATCAAAAGGAGTGAAAAAACAAGAAATCAATACTAGGATTTCAAGATTTTTACAAGAAGACAAGTTCTTGACACAAGATCTTCATTATTTTTCTCGTTTTCCTTAAAAATCGGTGATGTTCTTTAATTCCACATTGTTCTATTCTTCTCCCATGATATGTAATTAACGATTAGTTAGGATGAACGATTATAACCTAGTTTTGAACATTAATTTTACTTACGAAGTTTTAGTTTCTAATTGTTGTTGTGAATAATTTTTACTTCTATCTTATTGCTTTGAATTGGTAGGGCACTAATTTATTGATTTGTGAGGAAAATGTGAGTTATTTGTTTATATCACGTAGTAAACATATGTAGTTTGGATAATAGATAGAGATACACTTTTATGGTTGCCGTGATCGTTAGATGAATTCTTTAGTGATTGAATAATCTTTTTTAGTGCTTATTCGAATTCACATAAAGATATGCCGGTTAACTTAATTGGATAGGATTTGTTTAAACTTGAGAGAGGTAAATTATTTAATTTAGAAGAATTCAACCTGGTACACATGATTGGTTGTTATAAAAATTGGTGATTGGGATTAAGAGGATAGTAACGATCATTCGTTAATCCCAACACTTAAACCATCATTAAAAATTCATATATGCACTTGTTAATGGTTTTTGTATTTAAAATAAAAAAATCATAAAAAGAAGATAAACACATTTATTTATTTCCAATTGAATTGAAGATAAGAATAATTGAATCAACAATTAAATTTTAGTCCTCATGCAATTAATAATTCGGAATCTTAGGTCCATTTTATTACTTGTTACGATTTGTACACTTGTGGAAAATCAACAAGTATTTAGTGTCGTCATTGAAAACTATTTTTATTTAATATTGGTTTAAATTATTTCTATCTTTTATATGATTTTTTCTTTTTCTTTTTAAACCAATCTTGTTTTTCTTTATTTCATCTATAGGGAACGAAAAGAAACACGTGATCAATAATGATTGATCTCGATGTTGATGAAGATGTCTTTGCCATGTTGGGATACAATCCACATGCCACACTCTATGAGTTTAACTTGCCAATGAGATTATTTCACCAACTGGTTCTTGAGGAGATGAGTCCGACTTTTGAATATTGTGGGACTTTGCAATATACTAAAAATTGCTTGTTATTGATAACTTCAGAGGAAGTGAAAAAAGCTATCTTCAATAATCCATTTAAAGAAGATGATGACAACGATGTGCTTGTGGAAGATGTCTTCGCCATGCTATAATATAATAGGATTGAAGACCAAATTATTCCGAATGAGCCAAATAACATGCTTATGGAGGATCTTTTCGTCATTCAACCTAAGGAATCAACATCTAAAGAAGAAAAATATGTAGAATCGAAAAATTAATCATGACGGAACCAAACGAATCGGTGGCATTCAAAGTTACATGGTTTAAATACTGCTATCCCTAATAAAATTACTAAAATTGAAATATTGCACTAGAACGTCACTGGATGATCTCAATGAGTTTATAATTACAGCTCTGTTGTTCCTCTTGTATTTCTCATGAAAAAGGATCTGAAGGTCGTCATTTCCATTGTTCTGTTGTTCCTCTTTTATTTTCTATGCTGAAGTTACAAGTGAACAATTACAATAATGCAATTCCATCGTTTGAAGAGTTGGAATTTCTCCAATTTCACTAGGGATCTCCTCCAAACTATGGCAGTTCTTAATGACTAGGTTCTGAAGTCTCGGGAAGTGGACGATGTCAGCTTTCCAATGCTGAAGACGAACATTTTCAAGCAGCAGATAATTTTCAGTTGAAGAAATTCTCCTTCATTTGATTCCCACTCTGGTCTTACATAGAAGGCAAAATTTCTGAGTTTGAGCACTTCTATAGGCAACGATGATAGAAAAATATTATAGGATTATCGGTCAAAATAATAATCAAATCCTTAATTTTCAATA